GCAGCAGCAGCAGCAGCAGCAGCAGCAGCAGCAGCAACAGCAGCAGCAGCAGTGGCAACAGCAGCAGCAGCAGCAGCAGCAATAGGAATAGGAGTTAGTAGAAGGAGCAGCAGCAGCAACAGCAGTAGTAATTAGTAGTTTAATTAGGGTTTATTGTTTATTAAGAGTTAATTAGGGTTTAGGGTTTAGGGTTTAGGGTTTAGGGTCTAGGTTAGGGTTTAGGGTTAACTAGGGTCTATTGTTAATTACAGTTTAGTGTTTATTAGAGTTTATTAGTCTTTATTAGGATGAATTAGGGTTTAGAGTTTATGAGGGTTTAGGGTTTATGAGGGTTTAGGGTTTATGAGGGTTTAGGGTTTACGAGTGTTCATTGTCAACAAATCTTTGATTAAACTCCGCGAAAGTTTCGCGTTTTTCATTTTGGGTGAACTAGGGTTTATAATACATCGTTTAAAAACCCTAAACTAGGATAAAGTGTTTACGAGGGTTTAGGGTTTAGGGTTTAGGGTTTATGAGGGTTTAGGGTTTATGAGGGTTTACGAGTGTTCATTGTCAACAAATCTTTGATTAAACTCTGCGAAAGTTTCGAGTTTTTCATTGGGGGCAAATAAGGGTTTATAATACATCGTTTAAAAGCTATAAACTAGGATAAAGTGTTTACGAGGGTTTAGGGTTTACGAGGGTTTATGAGGGTTTAGGGTTTATGAGGGTTTACGAGTGTTCGTTGTCAACAAATCTTTGATTAAACTCCGCGAAGGTTTCGAGTTTTTCATTGGGGGGGAGAAGATATCCTCTATCGATTAAAATTTCGCAGCACGTGCGCCGAGCTCGGTATAGACGACGCACGCTTGACTCCATTGTTTTGAGGGTTTATGAGGGTTTATGAGGGTTTAGGGTTTATGAGGGTTTAGGGTTTAGGAGGGTTTAGGAGGGTTTAGAAGGGGTTAGGAGGGGTTAGGAGGGGTTAGGAGGGGTTAGGAGGGGTTAAGAGGGGTTAGGAGGGTTTAGAAGGGTTTAGGGTTTATGAGGGTTTAGAAGGGTTTAGGAGGGGTTAGGAGGGTTTAGAAGGGTTTAGGGTTTAGGGTTTAAAGAAGGGGTTAGAAAGAGGGGTCTTGAGAGGGGTGTTGAGAGGGTTTAGGGTTTAGGGTTTAGGGTTTAGGGTTTAGGGTTTAGGGTTTAGGGTTTAGAGAGGGGGTGATGGGGGCGGGAGAAGAGAAAGAAAGAATTGATGAAGAGAGAGAAGAGAAATAAAGAAATGAAAAACAAAAATAAAAATAAATAAAAAATAAAAATAAAAATAAAATAAAATAAAAAAAGAGAGAGAGAGGGAGAGATATAGAGGGTTTAGAAGGGTTTAGGGGGTTTAGGGGGTTTAGGGTTTAGGGTTTAGGGTTTAGGGTTGTTGCGTTTTGTTTTATTTGTTATTTTTATATATGTTTTTATTTATTTGATTAAACCCCTAAACCCTAAACCCTAAACCCTAAACCCTAAACCCTAAACCCTAAACGCATGCAGGCCCAATGAACCCTTCCTTCGTACACTTGCTTCTTCTCGCTTTATAATTATTTATTTATTTATTTATTTATTTATTTATTTATTTATTTATTTATTTATTGATTTGTTTATTTATTTGATTAAACACCTAAACCCTAAACCCTAAACCCTAAACCCTAAACCCGAGACGCAAGCGCCGCTCAAGGGGCCCTACAAACCCTAAACCCTAAACCCTAAACCCTAAACCCTAAAACCCTAAACCCTAAACCCTAAACCCTAAGCAAAGTTTAAACCCTAAAACCTAAACCCTAAAAATATAAACCCTTAACCCTAAAGCCTAACACTAAACACTAACCCTAAACCCTAAACCCTAAACCCTAACACTAAACCCTAAACCCTAAACCCTAACACTAAACCCTAAACCCTAAACCCTAATTGTTGCATGCTGCATAGCTCAGCATGGGGCTAGCGTTGCCTTAAACCC